CTGCTGTGCTGGCAGTGGTGGCTGTCTTASCTGAAAGCTTTGCTCTCTCTGTGCTTAACAAAGGGGTGCTCTGGGTCATCTGCTCKGTGTCTGCTTTTCCCCACAAGCACATCCCGCTGCCTGAATCCCAGCTCCATAAAGCAGGGAAGGAGGGTCGAAGGAACAAAAACGGGTTTGTGAAGCTCCCGAGAAGGCAGCAGGGCTTCAAGGGAGCAGCTGTCTGGGAGGCTGCGCAACCCGAGTTCCCTGGGTTTTGAAGCATCAAACCCTGTTCCTGCCCAGCCACAGGAATTTCCACTCTGAGTCACGCTGGCTCCTTCCCTCCAGCGATGGCTCTTATGCAACGCGGCGCAGCCTGGCACAGGGCTGTGCAGCTGGGCTCTCATGGAGAAAATCTGACCATTAACTCGCTGGTGGAGCCCTCTGAGCCATTTTACCCTGTGGCGTAAGCGGGCAGAAGGCAAAGCTAAATGTTTCCTTATGGAAACGCCAGCCAGCTGCTTGGCTCTCCTAAAGGGCAACGGGTAGCCCTGCCCTTCCTGGGGGGAGCTGTGCTAACAAGGCAGGAGAGGCCGGGAGGAGCTGGTGGTGCCTGTGCTGGGCTGGGGGCCGCTGAGCACACGCGGGTGGTTCTGCCTTCGGGAGGGGCACCGGTTCTTTGGACTTTGCAGCTTCTCCATAGGGACAGTTCTGTAACTTCTGAAGTGCAGAGCCAGCCTCTGGGTGGCTCCTGGTGGGAATGAACCTCTCTGCCTGCAGGAATCATCGCAAAACCTGCAGAAGARCTAGGAGGGGCAGGCCCCCCACACRGGCTGCAGGTCCTGTGAGTGCCCCTCAACCCTGCAGGCCTCTCTGAGCACTGCTGGGCTGGGCAGCGCTGCCTGGTGCCAGCACTGGCATTGACTTGGCAGCAGGAGCTGCCACAGGAGCTGTGCTCTCCCTTGTGCTCGCTCGGTCTGAGGTGTCCCACAAAATATTCCCACAGCCTGTGGCAGGGAAGGCGATGCAGAAAATAACCCCATCTGCCCAGGGCAGCTTTTCATCCTGCTCTGGATTGTTTTCCTGGGAATGGACAAGTTGTGGCCCATGCCGTGGGTGCTGGGAAGCCTCCTGCTGAGCCGCYCTGCGGGAGGAGAGGGGCCCTGGCTCCGCAGCGCGTGGAACTCCCCTTGGCTTTGTCTCGTGCAGGAGTTCAAGGAGGGCCGCCGGGCCAGCCACACAGCCCCCCAGGTGCTCTTCAGCCACAGGGAGCCGCCCCTGGAGCTCAAGGACACCGACGCGGCCGTCGGCGACAACATCGGCTACATCACCTTCGGTAAGCAGGCAGGGCTCGCCGCTGAGCGGCCTGTTGTGGGGCAGCTCCTTCAGACACCTGTGATAAAACCAGAGCTCAAGCTTCAGGGTTGGGAATTGGCAGTGGACAATTGGGAAGTGGCAGTGGGGACAAGCCGAGCAGCCCGGTGGCAGTGATCTGATTCAGATTCCCCACTGCCTGGTGCAGGTGTAAAGCTAAAGCCGTGAGAGGAGCCGGCAGGGGCCCAGGCTGGAAATGGGTGCTGCACACGGATACTGACACTACCTGGGAGAGAGACAGGGGAAGGCACCCGCTGCCCTCAGCTCTCGCCCTGCCTGGCAGTGGCTGTTGCTTTGGCTTCTGAAGCAGCGTGCCTAAAAACCAGGGCTGTGGCGGGGGACCTCGGAGCCGTTCCACAGCCTCCGGAGGCGCTGATGTTTGTGGGGTGCCTTTTCTTGCAGTGCTGTTCCCCCGTCACACCAATGCTGCTGCCAGAGACAACACCATAAACCTGATCCACACATTCCGGGACTACCTGCACTATCACATCAAGTGCTCAAAGGTACCGAGGGGACAGGGAGGAAAGGGGGGAGCTTTGGCCTGTCTAATCTGGGTGCAGCTGAGGAGGAGAAGGGAGCAGGGGGCCCCTTTGAGAGCTGCTGGTGACCCAGCATCGCCCTCCACAGCTAGGGATGACAAACRAAGCATCTCATCCCTTTCCTCTTCCTAATCTTTGCCACAATCAGTTTCTGTTTGCTTCCTGTCACAGCATCAGGATAGACTTTTCCCTTGAAATCTCCCTGGGTTTTTTCTCTCAGAGAATGGAAATAAGGAAAACTGCTCAGAGAAGAGCTGCCTTTGACTGGGGCAGTAGTTTGAAGCGCTGACTCCTACCAGCAGTGAGCTGGCCCTCTTGCCGCAGGTTGAGGGAGGCTGATCACCCACTGTGGCCAAGCTGAGCTACCTGCTTTCCCAGGAAGGAGCAGGAAGACAGCCCTGCCCCACGCGGTGGCTGTGCCTCGGCTTTCCTCAGGCCCCAGCTCCTGGGGAATCGGGCTGTGAGCGTTTCCTTGCCCACATGAGTAGTGTCCCTAGCTGGGAGAGTCCAGAAACACCAGCCGGTCTCTGTACTTGTGCTCCAAGACCAGCCCCAAGCGTCCCAGAGCTGTAACCTGGCCAGCTACAAGAGATGCCTGAAATGTGGGCCACGAGGACAGGAGCCTGAGGTGTCCCTGTTTTGTTCCAACGAAACACAGGCCTATATTCACACGCGTATGAGGGCGAAAACATCGGATTTCCTCAAGGTGCTGAACCGTGCCCGCCCAGACGCAGAGAAGAAAGAAATGAAAACAATCACGTGAGTGGCAAAGCGCGGCCTGGCAGGGCCCTGCGGGCCCCACGCTCTCCTCAGCTCAGGGTGCTCCGCTCCTGGGAGAACCAGGGTGCTGTGGGGAYGGCCAGATTGGGGCCTGCTGTGCTGGGACCCCATCTGCCAAGGCAAGGGGGTGCTCCCCGTGGAGGTGCTTGCCTGTGGTGCCTCTGGAAGTGAAGGACTCAGTCGGGGTGCATTGGCCGCCCCGGAGCCCCGTGCTCTGCCCCGCACTCGCTCACCGCCTCGCTTGTTCTTTGCAGGAGCAGCGTCCGTGGGCAGCCCTGTGCTGGCGGGGCCCTCGCGAAAGACGCCTCGCACAGGGCACAGGGAGCAGAGCCCGAGGCAGACAGGCAGAGCCACAGGCAGCGCAGTTGAGGCCAGGAGCTGAGACAGCGGATAGGTACCGCGGGAGGGCACCCGGCTGCCACCTCTGCGGGGCCACACAGGGAGCCTGGGGCTCTGCGAGGGACTTCAGGCAGCTCAGTGCCCGTCGCCCTCGCGCCTGCCCGGCTGTGGTTGGTGCTGAGCCAGCCTTGCCCAGGCAGCCCCAGGGAGCGCAGGTTTGGATGGCAGAGCCCTGGCAGTGAGGCTTGGGCAGCTCCCCCTTGGCAGCGCTGCGGAGGGAGCTGCGTGCGGGGAGCAGGGGGGCTCGCTGCCTCGTCCCTGCAGAGGGGGCCGGTTCTGCACCATCCAGAMCCTCCCTCGCGTCCCGCTGAGGTCTGGGGGCTTTTGCCTCGTTGTCCTGCACGCAGAGCAGCTGTTCAGGCCAGCCAAGGTGGTGTCAGTTCCCCTTCAGCCCCGAGTTCCTGCTTTGTCTTCCTTACTTCTCCATGCTCAGCCACAAGGAGATGCCTTCTAGCTTTGCTGCCCGTCCTTCAGCTGGAGCCTAGGTGCAGATCGAGGGTATTTGTGACCGGCTGAGCTGTGGGGGAGCAGGGGCCCCCAGCACCATCCCAGTGTGCAGGCAGTGCTACAACCTCTGTCCCTCTGCCAGCCCCTTCCTGGGCAGTTGCAGTGGCTGGTGCCCTCAGCGGGGTCTGCAGCTCCTCAGAGCGCCCTGCTGCCCCTGGCCAGCAGTTCCTTCATGTCCCGGGCCGGAGGTGTTGGCTGTCCTCCCTGTGAGTGTCCCCGCACTGACCTCTCTCTGCATCCTTGCAGGGGGAAGACGTTCACAACCCGCTAACGGCGGGGTCACTGAGGCTGCCTTGGAGGACGAAGGTTGGGGCACTTGCTACCCGATAATCGTAGCTTTTAATGTTGCACCTCTGTGGGCTCATAAGGAATTCAAGCAATCGGGGTCTGTTTGTACGACAGTTTGGGGAGTAATCTGCAGAAACGAGCTGTGCTTGCGAGGACTCGATCGTTCCAAGAAACAAAACCTTAATCCCAGTTTGATTGACTTTAATTTCTTTCCTTTTTTTTTAATTTTTTTTTTCTTTTCAAGCTGTTTCGCTTTGCAATATGTTACCGGAAATGAGTTGCAGTATTTCTTATGAAAATAATGCAATATTAACTTGTTTTCTTCTGAATATTTGAGTTCAAAACTCCTGTATCTGAAGAAATACTGTTGGGGTTCATTAATAAAGGAGATCTTTCTATCTTAAGGGGCTGCGTGGGGCTTTGGCTTGTTCAGTTCATGGGGCCTTGTTAAGGAACGTTTGGAGTTGCAGTTACTGTGAGTAGTTGGAGCTAATAATGCCATTCAGTTGAATTGCTGTATCTCAGAGAATTTATTTATTGATTGATTATTTATTCCTGTTAATTCTAGTCCTGGGAGCTGGAAGGTGATGGTGGTAGCTGTGTGCTGGGGCTCCCGCTGAGCTCCCTACCCAGGAAAGTGGAGGCTGGAGCCTCCCCTGGAGCTGAGGGCACTGAGGATGGGGCTGCAGCCTCCCCCCAGGTACCTCCTGCTGGCACAAGAGGCTCCCTGTGCAGCTGGCTGGGAGCAGAGAGGAGGAGCTGAGCCCCGAGCCCCTTTCTTCAGCAGGAGGCAGCGGCACTGCAGGGGGGCACCCTGCATCACCCTCACTCTGGCAAGCTCTGGGAAGGCAGCAAGAGCAGGCACGGGGGCCTGACACCCTCGTGGCTACCCCCACCACCCTTGGTGAGCCCTGAGGAAGAGGAGGATGGAACCTCCAGCTTTGCTCYTCTGCAGGGGGGAAGCAGCGGTACCCTGAGGGCCCCCTGGGACCAGCAGGCCGGTACCTGACATCCCCTCCTGCAAAAGCTGCAGCTGGCTCCTGCGTGCAAATGCGGTGCTGCTGTCCCCTCAGGATGTGCAAGCCTGGGCTCCTCACTGAGTATCACAGCAGGAGGGAGGAGGGTCTTCCACTCAGCCCTTCTCTCCCCTCTCTTTGCCTCCCATCCTGCACAGCCACAGCCCTGGCTCCCCTTGTTCATGGCTTCTTCTTCACTCCCTTCCCTCAGGAGAGCCCATCCTGTCCTACCTCGGGCCAGGCAGGCTGGGCTCTCTGCTGGGAAGTGGGGGCCACTGGAAGCCTCCAGCACTTCAGSGAAGTGATAATATTCGGGGCAGGAGCTGGGAATGACTCCTGTACCACCATCTACCTCCCTGCCAACGGAAAGAACACCCGCCTTACCTACATACCCGTGTGGATTAAGATCCAGTTAAGTGAAATAATTTATATAATTAAAAGACATTTTTCATACAAAAGCCCAGGCTCAGCCCCCCCCCACCCCCAAGCAAGGGCAGGGGGGCAGGCTAGTAAATTACAAAGCACACGCTGGGGAAGGGGGGAGCCCCCCGTCCCCCGTCCCGCTGTACAAGAGCCCCCGGCGGCCTCGCGGCCCTAGCGGTCCGGGCGCTGCACGCAGAACACCTTGGCCTGGTGGTCTCCGGAGGTCGTCACCACGATGGAGGCGTCCCTGGGGAGACACAGCCCTGAGAGGGTGCTGGGGGGGCCCTCACCCTCCTTTCCCATAGCTAGCCTAGGACAGCAGTGGCCCCAGCCCAGCTATGGGGCTGTTCCCTCCTCAGGCCCCCACCACCCCCTGAGCCACCCAAAGAAGACAGAAATCAGGATCTGAGTTCCCTGCCCCCCCTCGTGCCCCCCCTACAAGCAGCCTTGGCCAAGGGGGCCGGGGGGGTCCCCGCTTACTTGTTGACGGCGAAGTCGAGGATTTCGGCCGCGTGCCCTCGGTACTCGCTGATCATCTTCCCCGAGCGCGCGTCCCAGAGGCGCACGGCGCCGTCCAGGCTGCACGTGTAGACCACGGCCGAGCTCTCCTCCCACAGCAGCTGCACGATGCCCGACTGGGGCAGGGCAGGGGCAGTGTGAGCCGGGGCGGGGGGCCCCTCAGCACCCTCCCAGCTCCTCCCATGGGGCCCGTGCTCTGTGTGGCGCTGGGGCCAGCGAGCAGCAAGAGCTGCCCCAGGGGCGGAAGGAGAAGAACTGGTCCCAGACCCGCCAGGAAAGCCCCTGGGCTCCCAGAGAGGCGGCGCTGGGGCCGTGCTGAGGGCCTGGGGCTTGCAGACTTCTCCTAGAGCCCTGGACTAGGCCAGCTCGGGGGGGAAAGGAGCTAGGGCAGTACCTCGTGCTGGCATTTATGCCTCAGGCTCTGTGTGGTGAGGTCGTAGATTGCCAGGGTGCCGTCGAGGTAGCCCACAGCAGCCAGGGGCATCCTGCAGAGGGGAGCAAAAAAATAATGATAGAGAAAGAAAAGAGATGTTAGGGGGGGCTCGAAGGAAGCAGGGATGAAGATGTGAGGCCTCAACACAGACTGTGCCCACAGTGCAGCACAAAGATGGACAAGCTGCTGCCCTAGAAGAGATGAGGAACAGGGCTGGAGCCAGGGCCTCCCTGCTAAGGAAACCAGGAGGACACCGTGAGCCAGCACCTGTCCTAAGGTTCAACCAGGACAAGATCAGATCCTGCTGGGAAAGATGCCCAAGGGCCACGGCCAGAGGGGCTCCCATCCCAATAGCACGAGCCTGGAGAGACCCAAGTGATGTTGTGAGGAGTCAAGGGTCAGTGGCCCTTGTCTCTCACATCACAGGGCGGTTAAAGCAACWGGGGGATGAGAAAAGTGCTGGAGGGGAGGGAAGGGCCTGAAGTTACATGTTTGGAAAGAGCAKCTTTGCTGTACGGTCTGGCGCTGGRTTTTGGATACAGATTCCCTGCAGGGAGAGCCTGGCAGACAAGTGGTTAAAGATGGTGCAGGTCCCACCAACTCCTTGGTGGCTCCCAGAGGGTTCAGGATAAGCCCCCAGTGGCAGGGGGAGGCAGGAAGCCCCCTGAATGAAGGGGCATCACCCCACTACGTCACCGGCCCCCGTTTCCCCCACACTCACACGTTACAGAATCCCAGGGATTCCACAGAGTTGGACTCGGGCTCCTCGCCCTCGCTGGCGGGCGTCTTGGGGGCGATGCTCTCCACCTTGAACACGCACACCACCTGTGGGGGGGCAGATTGGTCCCCAGGGCAGGGCAAGGGTCTCCCCAGCCTCACAGGGAGGCCCTGACCTTACCCAGGACCTAAAACCCCAGCCTATGGAGGCCAACCCTAGAGCCTCGGCCCCTGGGAGGAGAGGCCAGGGGCAGCTTTTGCCCAGCAGGCTGCCCCACAGCTGAGCACCCTGCGCGGGTGCCACCAGGAGCCCCTGGCTGCGCTGGCCAAGGGCGCCTCCTGCTGGCTGCTCTTGGCCACTGCAGGCTCACTCATGGCTGTTGGAGCCAGAGCCACCCTTGCCCGACCACGAGAGGCCTCAGAGACAGGGATCCCCTTTCCCCGTCCCCTACGGCCTCTCCCTCTGGTCACAGCAGCAGGGCAGGGCGAGGCAGGCACAGACTCACCTTGCCCGTGGCAGAGTTGATCAGTTTGGCGTGACAGTCCACGGAGCCTGTCAAGATCAAGCTGCCATCCTGGTTGCTGGCCACGCACGTCAAGGGGTCCTGGTGGCCGTCCTGGCCTGCAGAGGGGAGCAGAGGCAGCGTGAGCTCCACRCACTGTCCCAAGAAGCCTCCATGTGCCATGAAACCCACAGACATCCTCGTGCCCATGGTGCCCAGCACCCCTGGGGCAGRGACCAGCCTCCTGAGGGGACAAGGCAGTTCACCACACTCAGGGCCAGGCCCTGCAGCAGCCCCTGGCCTCATGACGCACCCCCCTTCCCCAGGGCAGCGATCAGGGCCCACGGGAACGGGCCATTCCTTGCCTAGGAAGCACCCTTGGACAATTAACCCCTTTCCTACCTTTCAGGACATGCAGCGAGGTGCCCTGCTTCAGGTCCCAGATGCGCAACGTCCCATCTTCATATCCCACCACTGCTCTCTTCCCTGGAGGAGACAGAGGTGACGGCTAGAGCCAGAGCCTCCTTCACCCACCTCCACCTCCTGCTCAGCCCCRACGGGACAGAGCTGGGCGCCCCGGGGCACCCCTGGCTCTGCAGAAACASAGGTGGTTCCCACAGGATTTGCGAGGGACCTCAGAGCAGGTGACACTCCCCTCCCCAGGCAGCCTCTGGGCCTCACCATCAGGCAGGATCCTGCCACACGTGGCTGGGCACGAGGGGCCCTGGAAGGTTTTGCAGTCCCCGCTGGGGATCTTCCACATCCAGGAGTTGCCGTCAGCTGTGCCCGCCAGAAGGACGTGGGCTTGAGGATGCCACTCCATCCACTGCAGGGAGAGGGACAGCAGTGACACAGGGTGGCCTCAGAGGACAACCCATCCATCTCAGCCTCCCAGCAGAGCCACAGGGAAAGGAACGAGACCTGCACCCCACGTGCCAGCCCCATAAGAGCCAGGGGTTCTGCCACTCACCTCCAAGTCCCCCACTTCAAAGGACCAAACTTCTTCCTTGGAATCCACCCGCCACACCTTGATGAGCCCGGACATGTCGCCAGTGGCCACAAACACGGAGTCGTGGCTGAAGCCAGCGCAGGTGACCGAGTCCTTGTGTCCTAGAAACGGGAGGAAACAGGAATTATTAATTACCAAGTTATGGAGGATGATCAGAACTTCAGCTCCACGAGAGCACAGGGTGGCAGGCGGGCACGGCTGGAGAGATGCTGCTGGGAAGGGACATACTGTAACGTGGCCCCTATCGATTGTCCCGGTGCGGAGGATGCTCCGGCCAGAGCAACTCACCCGAGCACTCGAAGAGGAGCTCTCCGTCGCTGAGGCGCCACACGAAGGCCTTGTCGTCCTCCCCGCCCGTCACCGCCAGCGTGTTGGTCTTGGGGTCGAGGCTCACGCAGAAGACAGAGGCTGTGCGGGAGGGAACGGCTACGGGCTCAGACCCCGCTCAGGCCCCATCAGACACCGCCCAGGGCTCCGCGCTGACCAGCACCAGGTCTGCACGAGATGCCGCCCCGCCGGGATGAGARCCCGGACACTGGGAGCCGGTTCTTCCCCCGGGTCGGGACTGGGGCCCTGCCGGAGCAGCCCGGGCTGCCGCCGAGCCCAGCCTAGCTGTTAAAGCCAAGACAGGGATCCCCGAGGTCCGGGTAGTGCCTGCAGGAGAAACTGCCCCTGGCCAGGAGCATCGCCAGGACCTGGGCGGGAAGGTCCCTACGGCAGGCGGGGGGGACACGAGCGAGGCTGGGGAGCCCCGGGTAGTGCAGCCCCGCGGAGCCGCCCCGCGGCCCCCGCTCACCCGAGTGCAGGGCGAACGTGACCTCGCTGTCGTCCTGCGCCTCCATGCCGTCCTCCAGCCCCTCGTCGTCCTCCTCCGTGTCCCAGGCCTCGCCCTCGGGCCCGTCCGCGCCCTCATCGTCCTCGAAGTCCACGTCCTCCACGCCGTGGGCCAGGTCCTCTGCGGGGAGCGCCGCTCAGCGCGGGCGGCTGCGGGGCCTCGCGGGGCGCCCCGGCCACGGGCCGCGCGGAGGCCGCGCAGGG